ATCCATCCTGGTAGTGGCAGAGTCTACAATCTTGAATTCAATCCTCCCAAAGATGTTGTAAGTGTTAAGTTGTAAGATGTAAAGCTAAGTGTGAGTTGTGATTGTATTTATCTAATGCACCTGGAACCCATTCTTTCCCTACTTCAAGCAGCGGTTCTGGAATTATAATATGCATATTGTAGTGCATTGAAATAGTTTGGAACACGAGTGAAATCAAGAAGTGGATTCTTGAATGGTTGAAATGCAACAGAGTCATTATAAGAGCATGATGTTTTTTCATTACTGACTTTTGATATGCTTATCATAGGATGATACCGGTGCAATTTGTTAAAGTATTTTTAAAACAATTCCAAAACTACTTGCTAGTATAACTCACAGGTCAAATCAGCTTAATAAATGGTTAGTCAAAACTGTTAAGAGAACGCTTAGGTTTCAATGTCCCTCATACTGTGGGCCAAATTCTGTCCTCTGGTATACACAAAAATGACTTCGAGTGTTGCATGTGTGTAAGTGAGGGCAAAACTTGGCCCCGTATCATGTAGGATTAAGTTCTAATGACTTCTACTTGTTAGCACTAAAGTCTTCTCAAGCTACTGCTGTTTTAAATCACTCAACCTCACTATTAAAAGATGTAAAGTGCCTCCAAAAGAAATTGAAAGTGCAAGGTGAGGTTCAAGTTAATACCTGCTGTTTAGGCCCATGTTCTGTTTGGTCATTCCTGCAACTGTTCTGCTCTGTTGGTTTATATGCTGTCTGCTGTACACTAGTCATTGTAACATCTCTTCCATATTCTAACTTCCAACCATATGGCCATGCTGCTCTTCACCTTTTACAATCTGTTCTCAGAGACCATAAATCATATCTGCCTTTTAATTCTGCCAGTTGTCCATGACGTTACTGAAACGATTCTAGACATCCATTCTGCTCCACCATACATCAAGGGTCACTATGCATAGGTTCCTGTGTGTAGTACATGTGACTTCACTGACTTGTGCTCCTCTACTACAATCTGAAAACCACAGCTACTCCATGCATCTGGTGTTTGAGGAAGTATGTTTTGGAAACTGCTGAAAGTAAACATCTTACCAGATAAGATATGGATGGTAGCTTGTTCTCTAGTTTAGCTGAGAGCTGTTTTTTCTTTGACTAACTAGAAATTGATACTAACAGACTAACACAAAGTCCACTTAAACAGAAATATAAAGCCATTTTGCTCTTAACCACAATTAGGGCCTTGATGATATTACCAGAGAGCCACTTGTTCAGCGTGATGATGATAAGCCAGAGACTGTTACCAAGAGACTGAAGGCTTATGAGGCACAGACAAAGCCTGTTCTGGACTATTACCGGTAAGTAGTAAATAAACAAAAATACTTCTCTCCACATTAGGATGAACAGGAACAACCTGTTTTTCTCTTAAAAATGCACAAATACCATATTGGTGAATAATTACTTAAAATTTAAGTCACTTTCCGTCTCAACTTGTTACACAATAACAGTAAATGTATAATGACATATATTACGGGTAGATTCCCCCCTGCTATTTACTTGATTAAAACCTCTTTTCCAATAGTACTTCAGGAACTAAAAGGTACAGTCATGTATAGCACCTTGTTACTGTAAAGCTTCCTATGACTGCAGTAAAATCAAAATGATCAACACTTCAAAAGCAAGGGCAAGTTCCACAACTGTGGAGCTCTGTTTTCAGTAGGTATTTCCTTCCCGGAACTTTCATTGTATCAAATGTCTGCCAATTTTTTTTTTTACCTCACTGGCTGGCCAAGGACTTAGGGTATTAAAAGTTGCTAGGAGATAAAGGGCTAAAAATCAGTAAGTGACATGAGAGTGGGTAGAAAAATTTGTGAATTAATAAAAAATTTGAGTCATATTTTAAAAACAAGAGTGTGTATGAATATGGTATGCTGCATTGCAGGGGGGAAATGGGGAGAGAAAAGTAGTCAAGCCTTGGAATAGTTGATGGGTTTTCCTAAATCTGTCTCTTTAAGCAAAGGTGCTCTAGTTAATGTGCAGATATTTTATGAATACCATTGGGGTAATAATGGATGTAGATGTTTATAGACATTTATCCAAATACTAAATTGACCGTTTGTCACTCAGAAATAGTCCAACGCCTTCTAGTAATTTCCCTGCATGTCTTGGACAGGGAGGGAGGGAGGGATAGCTCAGTGGTTTGAGCATTGGCCTGCTAAACCCAGGGTTGTGAATTCAATCCTTGAGGGGGCCACTTAGGGATCTGGGGCAAAATCAGTACTTGGTCCTGCTAGGGAAGGCAGGGGGCTGGACTCTATGACCTTTCAAGGTCCCTTCTAGTTCTAGGAGATAGGACATCTCCATTTAAAAAAAAAAAAAAAAAAAATGCTTTCTCTGGAGAGAAGAGGTTGAAGAGAGGGTACTTTTGGTCAGCAATGGTTTTACTGACTTCAGTGGACTTCCTTGAGGGCACATGTGTATTTTAGGATCGGGGCCTATTTTATCAAATCATAGTATGATGACAGTGTACTCTATGTAAAAATGCCATTGACAGAACATCTATGTAGCAACTAAACAGTCATTCCCAAGGCAAATTCTAGTTACATCTTTACTCTGTTTACATGGAATAACCTTTAAAATTTAGTGTTTTTGCCCACTTGGCTATATATAACAATAAAATAGATTGTATTAGTATTTGATAGCCCTAAATCAAGGCTTTTAGAGGCAATGTCATTTTATGTTGAGCAATGATTATGTAGTACTTGCTTACCTTAGGACTGACCCTTCATTCTTCATTAGCCCACAAAAGCTTATGCTCAAATAAATTTGTTAGTCTCTAAGGTGCCACAAGTACTCCTGTTCTTTTTGCTGATACAGACTAACACGGCTGCTACTCTGAAACCTTCATTCTTTGTTTCCATTTTCTTCATAGTTCAGTAGTGACTACCTCAGAGTGCTTTTTGTCCTTTGGAATAGACCAGATCTGATATGGTCACTAACTTCATGTCTCCCTTTCATGTATACCACTCCAAAAACAAAGCATGAAACTTTTGACATAGCTAGTTTCTTCTTTCAGAAAACAGAAGGTTGCTCTTGGGGCTGAACTCTTACATGTCAACAATGTTGCCAATATTCCTCCACCAGGACAACCTTTCAACTCTGAAGTGGAGATGCTGATAGAATGGACAAAACTGATTTGTCTACACTTGTTTTTGTCTCTCCTTTAGGAATAAAGGTGTACTGGAATCTTTCTCTGGAACAGAAACCAATAAGATCTGGCCAGTGGTGCATGCTTTCCTCCAAACCAAATTACCAGAAGTGAACCAGGAGGAAGCTGCCCCACACAGATGAAGTTGGATCTTTATTGATAAGCACAACTACTGGCTGTCTCCATTTTCAGAGTGATTCTGTCCAGAATGTTAGAAACTTGCAAAAATCATGGTTTTGTTTTACATGTCAAACCGATCAGTAGCCAAGACCTAATCTCAAACCGTCACCCCACAGCTTTTCAACTTTGTGCATTCCGATTTTTCACTTCTCTATACTCATTTTAAAGCTGTATTTTTATATTAAATTTACCTAATTCTTGTAAAATAGTGACCAATTGTAATAAAAGCAACTAAAGTTTCATGTCTGTGCATTTGGCAAAAAAAAAGTCAGTGTCCTTTTTCTGAAACGCTTATGTGGATTTTTAGAAAAATGAATGAGTAAAGGCACAAGCATTTCTTTCAAGATGATGCATTAGGCAAGATTGCTTATAAAAACTCATAGTAGAAGTGTTCAGTTCACATTACAAGTGTCACAACTGCTCATGCTTACCAAGCATTTGCTGAAAGGTGTAGAACCATGCCTTTATACTGTACTTACTATACTGTAGAAAAGATGCCTTTAGCTAGATACTGTGGATACCAAAGTCATGTAGTGAAAGTGGTGTAGCTGGAGGCTGAGTAAGGAAAACAGTGGTAACTTTCACACACAGAGCTGGTTACAGTTCAAACTCCTGTACTTGTTCGTAGGATTAGGTTGTCTTGATAGCCCCACTCTTCCAAACTGGATCATTGTCACAAGATAAATCACAAATGGATAAAATCTGAAGATCCTAATATCAGTGGTGTTACCAGTAACAGTAACCCAATGCACCATTCTGCCCCCCTGGAATTAATTCAACAGGCAATGGAAAACTGAAACTTTGCTTATGATCATGGTAAGGATTTTGTTCCTCACTGGGTGAGCTTTCACAAAATGGCTGAGGCAAATGGTGACCAGTCACTTTGAACAGTGCAGAAAATTCATCTGGAAAACTTAATCCAAAAACCTATTCAATGAAAGGGAAAATAGCTTGACAGCTATAAGAGATTTATGCACATGAGTGCAGAGCATACCAGACTTAATATTCAAAGCCATGAATTTGAAATGTGAGGTCAAGAAAAAGGCCAAGATAACTCTGGCTACATTCCTAGCCCACAAGGAGACCATTCTCTGTAAGGATCTGTTCTCCCTATTAGCAGAGTGATAAAGTGAGAGTTCAGGAGAGCTATTGAATTACAAGGGAAGAAAGTAGGGCCAGATCCACAAAGGCACATTGGCTCCTGACTTCCACTGAAGTCAATGGAAATTAAGAGTACCAGTGCCTTTCTGGGGCTGGCCCTAGATATTACATGTCTAGTTGGACTACTCCAGCAGTAGCAGCATGTAGATCTAATTGCCTGAAGGAAGACTAATCATTTGGGCTTGTACTCCTAGGAGTAATGGAATGTAATTCAGAAGAGTCAAGTTTAGAATAAAAAATTTGCCCTGAGATCAATGAGGCTATAGCCTGGCCTCTTAACATAAGAAGCCATCCTTACTTGAGATGCTTGATTAGAAAAAGCATATTAAAACTAGAAAGCATACTAAAGAAAATGGATTAGATATCTTATTTTCATGAATACAGTGAATCCTGAACATTGACACTATACAATAGTCAATGAGGTGCTCTGGTCATCTTACATTTCAGTCGCACGCAGCACTACAATAAAATGTTTTATTACAGAAAATTAAATCTCATTTCCAAAGCAGTGGGGGAGAATCTTGCCACAAGAGTATTCAAGCTTCTTTGATTAAACATGTTAGCTATGTTTTGTCAAGCTATCTTGAAGCCTTTATTTATCCACATTTAAAGTTACAAAACTGACCTTTTTGCTATTTCACTCCACTAAGTTACAACATTAACAAAATTCTGACTACCTAGTTGCACCTAGAAGAGTCCCACTGGAAACAAAACCACATTTGGTGTGGTAGAGTGTAACTTTAATCCTCAATTAATGAGGTTATAAAGCAGAGATTAAAACAGTAGGGTAATAGTCTCTCCCATAAAATTAATAGAGATGAGTACATTGCATATTTTGGTGGTAAGGAACCAGCCTCATTCCCATTCCACACTGGACTTCAATGGCTGAGGTCAACAGCCCTCTGTAAGCTTGGCTCTTTCAAATACCAAGCAGTCCAGATTTTTGTAGCTACTGCTAGTCTTTACAAGGAACACATACCCATGTTTTCAGCTTTACAGACTCTGCTGATTTCATTTCCCTCAATCCCACTTCTTCAGAAACTGGTCAGCAAGATCTAGGTACAGAAATCAATGTAATCATCACATCCAGATAGTTAAACTTTATGGACCTGGTATAACTGGCAGCAGACCATGCTGCTGAGGGCATCACTCCTCTCTGGTATTGATCCAACAAACAGGTCATCTACTAGTACTGCCAGCATAGTTAAAATACTTTACAGTAGGGTTTTTACTCCAAAGTATTAACACCACCAGTACTGACATATTCCAAGAAAAGCATCTGAGGAATTTGGAAAGCTTTTCATTTGTTGTAAGTATAAGGCTATTGAGGTAGATACTGTTCAGTTTGGGTCCTTTTCTAAACAAACAAACAAAAAAAAAGGATGACACAAAAATTTTGCAGCCACCAGCCTTTATGTCCTTAGAGACACCTCTAGACATACACATATTCCTTGGAGACTAGATTCCTTTGGACAGTTGCCTTAGCATTCCCATACAAAACCTTGATTTGTTCTATACTTCCATTTGACACCAGCATTACTGGGGTTTCTGGACCATTTCCAGACAAAAAGCATCAGCTCTCCCGACCTTTGCACTAGCCTAAATACAAATTTCTTCACTTTCCAGAAGAATAGGATATTGGCTGCTCTTTCTCAGATGGTCCTGAGGTTTTTATCAGAAGTGTGTTCTGTCCTTCACATGCCTGCAACAACCTCAGGGCTTAGATACCAGAGCAACAGGCACCTGCAGATGGAACTTCAGTTCTTTCTGTAGGATACAGGATTAACTGTGTGTAGGAGATGAACTACTGCATAGCTAGGTCACCTCTCATACTGTGTGGTCATTCTGAGGGGGAAGTTAGTGATAAGAGAAATGACATGCCCTTTTGCAATCTTTCCCTCACTGTATTCCACTGACACTACACAGCTACAACAGGTTTTACAGTAGTGGAGAATATACTCTTATGTTCTCTGCAGCTTTTAGCTAGAGCCCACTCAGAGCTGTTATCTTCTCTCAGTAAGGGACTGCTAGAGGGATCACAAGTGTTTAGCCTGGTGTACTGGGGACCTAAAATTAGAATGTGCCACTAAAGTTGTTTCTGTATCTCAACCATATCAGAAACACAGATCAGCCCCCCTCATGCTAGTAGCTGACAGACATTTCAATGAAGTTCCAGCAAATGTTTTTGAAGCTTGACTGTTCTCACCCCTAAATTCCCATCCATAAGGCTTCTGTAGTACTTAAAAGAAATGCTCTTATGGTTCTCTATAACCAAGCATGTGACTAGCCTGCTCCTCACAGAACATGGAGAGAAAGGCCCAGATTATGCTGGCCACGGGGGGGGGGGGGGGGGGGGGGGGAGAAGGGGACCAGAGAAGAAGTGGTTGCAGTTCCGTTTCTGGCACTGGTTCTGTGCCAACACTGGCCCCTGCATGCCTTAGGACAGACTAGGGGCCACTCCAAGGTACAACTACTGCCTGTGGCCATCCACCAGCAAAGAAAAGCCAAATTACAGTAGTTCTTCAAACTTGCTCCCTTCACTTGTGGCTACAGAGGGATTGCAGAGGAAGCTGACCAGCAATGCTAGTTCTGCACCAGCCTGGGTATTCTGTAGGCTGAGGAAATCTGGCTGCTTTCCAGCCCCTTTATGCCACTTAAGCAATGCAAAGGGGTTAGTAAGCAGTAGAGAATGTGACTCAAGAAGTATATACAAACTAATACATTGCTGCTTCGCTGTAAAATGAGAAAATATCTAGGCATTTCTACTGTGGTATCAGGGAGGGTCAGTCCTACACTGAAACAGCCCAGATACATAGAGGCTGTGTACACAGGTGAAAAAACTATTGAAAACAATTAGAAAAGCTTAATAGCAGTTTTGGATTGCAAAGACCATTATGGCAATATTCTGGAAATATTAAAGAGTTTGACCTTTGCAGAGCTCTAAAGCAGATACCGCCTTATATATTGTTACTCTCAGCAGTTGGCATCAATCATTCAGCTGATATTGAAACAGAACTCTTTTCCTTTTAAACTGAGGAAAGCCTGAAATACCATAACAAATCTGAATTATAAATCAATACTATTCAGTCAGTCTTTGGCACTCAGGCTTTCTTCATTACCGGTATGAAGGAGAGAGCCTGGCTGCAGTACAATCTTATCCTGAAGTTGTTTCCCCCACCCTCAATCTCCCACACCCAAAATATTTATTCACACTGGATCTCTGTAATGCAACTGTAATATTTTAAGTTAACACTAAATGTTAGACAGAAGAATCAGCTTCTCAGTGACCATGCTGCTAGAAATGTGGCTCAAAACTCACTAAGCAATTATACACTTTGTCTCTAAAATGTACATAACTTGACAATCAGAAATAAGTCTTTGTCTGAAAGCATAAAGTAAAATTTTAATCCCTGTAGTAGAGATAAAAAAAACCCACTGCTTTAATCTGAGCCTCCAAGTTGATATCAGCTTTTGATTTATTGCTATTAATATGATAAAATTGGATTTGAGCGCTTACTATGTCAGCAGTATAGCATGAGTACAATTGTGATCCTTAGTATTCATAGAGCAAGACACGTCCATGTCCATAATAAAAGATTATAGCAGATTCCAACTAGAATCAACCACTTCTCGTAAACATTGTATTTGTGCAGATTTGTTTGTCATACTTTGATTCCTAAAATTAAGAATAAAGGTAAGTTTAAGTAGCAGAAACAACATCCAGTTTCACATTCGGTAACATATGAGAACGCCTCTCCTAAAAGGGAACCAAAAATCTAGCAGCACATTTTCAAACAAAATGACAAATGTGTTTCTGGATTACCCTCCTTCCAAAAAACAAACGCAAAAAATAAAGTGCAGCACCCAGAAAAGTAAGTGTCAAGAAAAGAGCCACGTTCTTTTCTTTGTAATAAAAGTACTTGGCCTCAGTCTTAACAGTATTATATTGTGTCCATCATTTTGGGTTCCTCATCATCTCGGTGTACCAATGAGTTTAAATTAAAGAGACCTGTGTTTACGCAGCTTTGAAGAGAGTCTGCAGTCTGCAACAGGAGAAAACAACATTAATTCTACACAAGTAAATACTGAGATTCTAATTTTGCACCTTGTGCTTTCACGGTCAGTTGCCTAGCTCCCTTTAATTGTCTGCATCTCACACTCAAGAGGCAAGTTTCAATGTGATGCATAAGGATTTGCCTGTGACTAATAGGAATGGTAATTTAGCTTATTAAAAATGTATCCCCTTGAAATTTAGGAAATCTTATGACTGTACTAAGCTTTTATTCATCTTGTATGGAAAGAGAGCCTAAAGAGAAATATACATACAGTAACTCCTCACTTAAAATCGTCCCGGTTAACATTGTTTCATTGCTGATCAATTAGAGAACATGCGCATTTAAAGTTGCGCAATGCTCCCTTATAATGTTGTTTGGCAGCCGCCTGCTTTGTCAACTGCTTGCAGAAAGAGCAGCCCTTTGGAGCTAGCTGGTGGAGGGTTGGAACTAGGGTGGAAGGCAGCCCCCCATCTGCTCCCCGCTCCCCCTAAGTTCCCTGTGTGGCAGCCGCCCAGCAGGCTATCAATTGCCGGGCAGTTCAGCTGTCCCTCCCCACACTGCTGTGTGCTGCTCCTGCCCTCTGCCTTGGAGCTGCTCCCAGGAGCCTCCTGCTTGCTGTGCCAGGGAGGAGAGGGGGGCACTAATGTCAGGATGTCCCCCTCCTCTACTTCTGCCTCCCATCTCCACAGAGCAATGGGGGCACAACAGGGATCAGGATGACAAGACTCAGGTCGAGGGAGGGAGCTCGCTGGCAGCAGCTGCTGTCTCAACTTGCTGATCTACTTAAAAAGGCAGTGTACTTAGAGTGGGGTCAGCGTATTTAAAGGGCAATGCGTCTCTCTCTCTCTCACACACACACAGTGTGTGTCTCTGCCATGCTGTCTCCCCTCCTACCATTCCTGCTGCCTTATAGAGTGTCAGGCTACATTAACAACGTGTGAACCCTTGAGGGCTCAGCCGAGTGCTAGTTCATCATTTAGCAGTAAGGCATTCCCTGGGAAATATCCCACCCTCTGACTCCACCACCTCAATCAAGTTTCACAATCATCATTGCTGTGTACAGTATTAAATTGTTTGTTTAAAACTTATACAGTGTGTGTGTGTGTGTGTGTGTGTATATATATATATATGAGAGAGAGAGAGAGAGAGAGTGTGTCTTGTCTGGCGAAAAATATTTCCCTGGAACCTAACACCCTCCATTTACATTAATTCTTATGGGGAAGTTAAATTTGCTTAAAGTAGCATTTTTCAGGAACATAACTACAGCATTAAGCGAGGAACTACTGTAATCCTATTCTAAATTACCTCAGATGCAGGTGAACCTGTGTAAATAAATATCTTGATCAAAAGGATGTCTTAATTTTGACCCCATTCAACTATCCAAGTGGGGAAAAACCCTTCGGTTTCTTTTATGTCTGTGAGACCACCATTACTAACATTTAAATCATGTTTTGTAATCCAAAACCACCTACACTGAAACCTCAGTGTTTTATTAAAGGTATTTTGCAGTTCCCATTCTCTTATCACAGGCTGCATTTTTCTTAGGTTTGATTACTTGTAGGTTCCCATTACTGAGAACATTATGCTCATTTTTACTGGAAACTCATTTTCACCTCCTATAATATAAAATTCAAAATTTAATTATAGAATCAGTTTTATAATAAGTGTTTGCTCCAGCATACTTGCGGCAGATAAAATTACTTGCAAGTAGGTTAAGTATATGAATATTTAATGCATTAGGGCTGAATTATCAGGTTGTAAAGTGCATTTGGATTTGTACTTGGATGCTATTTGGGGTCTAGGAGACGAAAAGGTAGCTTTTTCAGTATCTATGTGGAGGGCAAATAGTTTATGTACAGAATATTTAACTTTAGTCCCAGCTAGTACCTTACTCCATAAGTAGTCCTATTTGAAATCAAAAGGTACTACACCTCTACCCCGATATAACGCGACTCGATATAACATGAATTCGGATATAACGCAGTAAAGCAGTGCTCCGGGGGTGGGGGGCTATGCACTCCAGCGGATCAAAGCAAGTTTGATATCACGCGGTTTCACCTATAATGCAGTAAGATTTTTTGGCTCCCGAGGACAGCGTTATATCGGGGTAGAGGTGTACTTCACATGAGCAAAGATGGCAGACTCTGGCCCTAAAACAATTACATGATTTCTGTAAATGGATTTATTAAAAACCTACCTGTGGCAAAAACTCCAACACGCCTAAGGAACTGAGACCAGTATGAGCAATGGGATTCTGAACTGACATAGCCTGAAAACTTTGTGATTGTGAAGAGATTTTCACTCTTGATTTAAATGCTTCGAGTTCATTTTTAAAAGCCTCAAAATAACCTTCTTCTTCTGCCTGTAGAAAGAAAAGGTTGTCAATTAAGTATTGCCCTAAACTCAAAACTATAAGTAAAACTTTGGCTATATAAGTATAAACATTACTGGGGGGAAAAAAGCTACACAATGAAGCACAGAAAAGGGAAAACAACACCCTAAACTTTAGATGAAAGTCTTGGGGAGAAACCAGTAGCAGCTTTATGAAAAATCAGCTAGGTTTCTTGATTTTTTTTTTTTGAAGTGTGTTTTTAATATTTTTGTCTGGGATAATGATAAAAGGCTATTTTCTTGCATCTGAGCAGTGGTGAATAGATCCTAATTTTAAGCCATTCCTCATCCCATCCTAGAAGCTGAAAGGAGAGGGGATACTCAGTACTGGACTTTTCAGAAGTCAACACTAGTTAAAGCCGAGGCCCGCATTAATTGACAAGGCACTCTCCCTCCCAAGTGAATCTGCCAGTATGAACAGTCAGACTAAGTACTTGAAATTTTCACAGCAGTGCACAAATTCAGCTCCCATGAGCACTTTAAAGACATCCTTTGATTTGCAGCAATCCAGTCAGGAACAGTACAAACTGCAGAAGTGGGTACAGAGGTGCACTGCAGTGATACAAAAATGCTGTTAAGTGGAAGGCTGTGACAAACACTGACCCAAGTCAGGGTAAACAATGGAGTCCTTGATAACAAGCTAACAGGGACACCAAGTCCTTAAATATGCTTTTTTATTAGTTGTGACTCAGAAATCACTTTGCCTGCTTAGCATCTCTAACTCCTGTTTACAATTAAATCTTGACAACATCAGCTTAGATGGGCTTTTTTGCTAGAGTGTACAATTTAAAATTTACTCAGACAAAAGTGGATTTTGCAGTTAAACTTCACTGATTTCAAATTTATGATGAAATATGGAGTTCTTGAATTCTTACAACAACATTAGGTGTGTTCCCCAACATCAATTCATATTTCAAGAACTCCATCTTTCATTAGTATTCTAGAACACTTCATTTAATATCTGTGAAGCACTTTGGAGCTGTGAACTGCACACACTGTTCAGTAAAAATACTTTTAACTATGATTAAGCAGTTCTGTACTAAGTTTTAATTAAATGTATTACAAATTAATTTTGAACTACTGTGATGGAGTAGTTGCCGGACCAGATGCTAGTTTATTCAACTGGGACCAAAGTTTCTGAAGAAAGTTGCTGACCACACTGCTCATGCAATTCTTCTGGAATAGCATTTTTATTTGGGAGCGTGGTGATGGGGGCAAATGGGGACTGCAATGGATAGGTCCTGTGGAATGCCCTCTGTTTGCCCCCATCCCAAGATTTTAACATGCCTTCTAGTCCTAGCTCTCTGGAGCCTGATACTGTTGCTCCTGGATGGCTATACTGGGTCATTACAGAGGCATAAAAATGTGCCCTTTCCTTAAGAAGGCGCATGAAGTCTCCATGGCACACCATGAGCCCAGCTGCTTGAGAAGCTAATCTAGTCCTGAAGCCTATCTCCCTGGTTAAGCAGTGCAATGGAGACACCTCCTGTCCAGTGTCTATATCTTCTTCTACAGTTAGTTTTTAGAGCACAAAATATTGATTCTGCAGGAACTCTACTCTTTCAGAGAGTAAGGGACTAGAGGAAATGGGAGAGAGTTTTCAACATTCTATATTACTTGTGCATGAAAGAATGTTACATTTATTGTATGATTATAAATGAAGTACACATTGATTTTACGTTCTGTTCCCCTTTTAGACACTCCTAACAGCACAACAAAATTCACAGAGCTTCCATCCTCATGGTTACACTGACCATTATTGCACAAAAGGCTGCCAACAACTCAACCTTTCCCCTAGAGCCTGGGGCTATTCCCTTAGCACATATTTAGCTTGCAGCTGTCAGGAAGAAATCTCAGCTGCTCTTGAACACTGATCCCTCTCAGATGCTGCAAGAGCTTCTCTAGCATTAAAATGAAATCACGACTTACTTTTGCTCTTTGGAAAAATAGACGAAAACAGCCTCTGGGATCCACATTACAACTTTTAGCCATTTCTATAATAAACTGCATAACAACTGCTTGGTGTGCTACTTGTTCCATCAGAGCCCTTTTCTGGAAACAAAAGTTACAAAGTTACATTTTTAAAGAGACTGTAAGCATGTAACTAAGATTTCAAATGTGTTTTACTTTCATGACCACCAGTTCTCATATCTTACAAGATCAAACTGAAAGTGGAGATGCGGGGGGAGGGGGGGATGGCGGTGGGAGAGAAGAGACAGCACTACTGAAGAACAGACATAAAGCAAGGTATTATCGAGGTTCCCTCCAGTAAGATAACTGGAAACAAATCGGGGGGGGGGGGGGGGAAAAGAGGAGGAAACAGATAAATCGTTTAATGTGATCTATGTGGATAGTCTTCTGTAGCATAAGCAGGAAAAATGTGTACCGTCTCCCAGATTCAAAGCAATTTAAGATTTGCCTAATACCTGTTCTGCTTCTAGGTGAAAACACCATAAGAGGAGATATTTAGCTGTATCTTCACATACAAGGTATGGATGGTCAGACAAAAATCTCTGGCTATCATCCCATCTGCTTAGCATGCCTGGTGAAAAGGAATTAGAAAGCCAAGTGTTACCATAAAAGTACATTGCTTATGGTATCTGAATGGCAATGGAAACCAAATAGTTATTACTTGACCCCATATGATATAGAGTTTTAGGCTATGTTTACACTGCAGACCTTATAGCGGCACAGCTGTACTGCTGCAGCTGCACCGCTGTAAGGGCTCCCGTATAGCCACTCTCCCGCCAACATAATTAAACCACCCCGACGAGCAGCAGTAGCTAGGCTGGCGGCATAGCATATATCCCGACCAACAAAAGTTTTACTGCCAAAAGTGCCAGTGTAGACATAGCATAATGACAAATTCATTACCACTCAATGAAGAAGACTAAGGCTAAGTGAGCTAGTCTCATTCCAACTCCTAATTGACATGTGACCAAAATAACGATTGGCACCTTTTTTGCTAGTTTCAGCAGAAAGGCCATGATTAAGAGTCCATTAAAGACTGACTGACACTTTCACTTGTAAATGTGGTCTCTATAACAGGATTGAGGTTAGATGTTTAGAGAAGCTTGCACTGTTTCATCTGTATCTCTTCAATGGCTAGAGTACTTCAGCTTCTCAACTACCAATATAGCAAAAAAATGAAGACAGAAAGAACAAAATAAATTTCCTGTATAATGCACATAGTTCAACTAAACTCAACATGATCCACAGATGAGAGACAAAAAGAGGCTCATTAACTGAATTTCTGCAACACTAGAAAACCAGGGTATTCCATGTTATCTAGTGCATCAGTTGTCAAACTACAGGCCTTAGACCACTGGATACCTGTGGAACACTTCTTGGTGGGCTGCAGAGAGCTAGCTGGCTAACCATATGTTGCTGGCTATTAAAAATTTCATACGATAAAAAAAAGTTTAAGAACTCCTGATAGAGAGAACTGTGGAAAATATTTCTGGATGTATCTGCATGTTAGATGTCTCCTATATGTAAAAATTAAAAGTGAGTTTAGCATTTAGAATTTCTCATTTATTTAGAACTTTTCTTTAGAACATAAGAGCATCAATAAAGGAATATTAGGTTTTATGAATTTCTGGCCAAGGCAACTGAGCTACACGGTATGGGATCAATTCTATAACACTATACAGTAGGTAATTTCTCAACTATAAGAGACTAATCCAGATTTGAAGTCAGAAATGGAAAAAGGTACTATTAGACAAAGTAATTAATCTACCTCTGATTTATAGATAGGATGTTAAAATGCAGAGACCAAATACAAACAGACCAAAGTGTAAAATGGTATGAACCAGGAGGAGAAATCATCAAGTTGTATTGCTTGCGACTGTCCTAAACAAAGTGGAAAAGCTATATTAAAAACCTTTAAAACCAAAACCACAAGTGAAGTCAGATTACTAAAAAAAAAGTTTAGAGAATTCTCATTAAGTCTGCAACGTTTTATATATTTACCTTATTTCATTCACAATATTAAGAAATTATGAGATTACAACACAATTAAGTATTTGAGTCCTAGCAGAGGTCAGTCTAAACACAGATTTGGTACTTTGCATTCCACTCAGAAAGCCAGTAAGCAGATATTTCTGCTAACATGATTAGTGGGGGAACAGTTAACATTGTTCCTTGTGTGGTCATCCTTGGACTTCAAAGTTATTTCAGTGACATGGGGGCAGGTCAATCACTTCTGTCGGCATATACTGAGACAGCCTCATGCATCACTTCACATTTGCAAGGTTTGTTTTGAAACTAAGAGGACTAGAAACCATTTTTGTTTTTAAAAATATACCACCACAAAGAAAAGCCAGTATGGCATACGAAGTGCCAACTCAACCCCATCCCTGGTTGGATGGGATGATTTCCAATAGGTAATACAACAGCCCCAATACAGCTATGCCCCTACACATACAGGAGCCAATCAATGACTCAGAACAATGGGACACATTCAAGATATTCATCAAAATTTCAGAACACTACATGACAAAGGGCATTTGCGTGCAATGGTTTTGATCACATTTCAATTATAGAGTTAAAGTGACACCTAGTGGATAGTCTGATATACTTGGATCAACTACTCTACACCTGGGTTACTATTAATAGATAGTTATTGGACTAAAAAGTTATTTTCAGTAGTAAATCCATCATGTGTATTAAAACTATTCCTCTTGTGGCTTACATGGCAAAGATGTGTATTAAATACTTAACACCTTTACACACAGGACTTGAAAAATCCATTCAATGCCCAGTAAATAGTGTTCGCTCTGAAGCACATGTACATGGAGACAGTCTGGCAGTAAGGAGGTTTGAGAAATACTAATAAATTTCCGAAGAATTTAAGCTGATGCAGCTCTTTCTTTCTGATTCTGCAAATAAGGCCATCATTGCTAATGCTGCTTATCTCTTCCTCCAAGCAGCAAACAAGAGTTGCCCACTATGTTCTTGCTTGGTGAAAGCTGCAAGCAGCAGCCAAGGCAGGGACTAGAGCAAGGGTGGGCAAACTACGGCCCACGGGCCGGATCCGGCCTCTCAGGGCTTTGGATCCAACGGAATTGCCCCCCGTGGTGCCACGGGTCCCGCGCCACTCTCGGCAGCGGCCGGCCCAACATCCCTGTAGCCCCGGGGCCCTTGCCTCCAGGAACCACCCCCGCAGCTCCCATTGGCCAGGAACGGGGAACCACAGCCAATGGGAGCTTTGGGGGAGGTACCTGGAGGTGCAGCAAGGGCAACACAAGCAGAGCCCTCTGCCCCCTCCATCCCCAGGGGCCCAGCGCTTCCTGGAGTGGCACGGGGCCAGGGACAGGGCAGGCATGCAGGGAGCCCCCTCATACACCCCGCACCCCTCCTGCACCCCAACCCCCTGCTGCATCCCAACCCCCTGCCCTGAGCCCCCTCCCGCAGTCCCCACCCCTCCTGCACCCCTGCCCTGAGCCCCCTCCCGCAGTTCGCACCCCTCCTGCACCCTAACCCCCTGCCCTTAGCCTCCTCATACACCCTGCACCCCTCCTCTGTCCCAATCCCTTGCCCTGAGCCCCTTCCTGCACACCACACCCCAACCCCCTGCCCTGCATACAATTTCTCCACCCAGATGTGGCCCTTGGTCCAAAAAGTTTGCCCATCCCTGCACTAGAGCTAGTCACAGAAAGGATTCTAAAAGAGGTTAGGAGGAGCAACAGAACCTCTGATGCCCCCAGCTGCAATGAAGTAGTTTTACTGTGGAAGAGAAATCATCTTCCATCCAAGCAGTGGTGCTCCTTCCATCTTTTGTTTGTTTGCAACTAAAGCTTAGTGCTCTCAACAGTATTTTTTAAGTCTTTTTCCCCCAAAGCCGAAACTTTCTTGGACCTGTAGGTGCTTTCTGTTCAACCAGCAAACACAGCTGAAGTCTACAAGAGATTCTAATATCTGAACTAAAATATTAGAAATTTAGCTACTTAGCTGCCATTTCCATGGAAGGATACACTTTTGAGAAGCATTGAGGAAAAAAATGCTTCCCTTTAAAAGAAAAACACTTCAGAATTTACAATACCACTGTTCTAGTATCACTTTTCATGAAGTGTCAGATAAAGTAGACAGAACCCTCTCTTTCGCAAGGACTTCAGTTATGCTGAGTGCTAAAATAGTGTTTATCTAAAAAGCATTATTGACTGTAGGATTCAATAAACTTCTCCAGCATGCAGCCTCTTACTTGGAAAGGACTATTTTGTTATGACTATCAAAGAAAATCCCAAACCCTGATAGACCAGAAACCTGAAGCTGGATTCTGCTAGCCAGATGCTTCATTTCTAAGTGTCCATTTTATAAAATAATAGCACCTATCTAAACACAATGCATAAAGTTAAAACTACAAAAAGCTGAAAAAGAGAGGTACTTACCAAAATGTCTAATTTTTTGTTCATGTTTCTGCATGAATGATTTGGATTTGTCTTCATCTTCTATTTCTTTTCTTTTCTTTTGATTAATAAAACTCTGTGGGGAGGGTGAAAAGGGAGAGAGCTTAATCACAGAATCCTTTTCCATGCTATTTTAAACTATGTCATTATGGGAACACCATTTTATTGAATTTCCATTTAAAAAGTAATGCTTCTAGTTGTAGGCCCAAAACCTGCAAACACACTGATGCATATACTTAATTTAACATAGATGAGGTGGTGTCTGGGAAATTGGGCTTTTTGACAATTAAAACCAGGGTTAAAAAAATGACTCCTTCTAACATCTGGTCTTGGATTATTGCTTGGAATAGCATTGTCATATACCAAAGTATTTAACGCGGCAGGTAGCAAGGCATTGAGTCTTTAAAACTCGAGAAATGCCTAACTTTTTTCCCCCTTAATATTTGTAAGTTTAATATCAAAATATTAATATGAAGAAGGTAGGATTTGATGCTAACTTTATCATTTGGAGACAACTGCTGTTTTGGATCAATGCAATCTAAGATCCCTGCTAGCAGTACAAAAACATTTCTTATGTTTTGATATCAGTGCAGGACCTACTTTTTGGTGGATTTTAATAAAATAAATGAAAGGATACTCATTCAGCACTTAATCTTGTCATATGGACTGTTCTGGATACAAACGACACTCACAATATTACAGTGACAAGTGCCACATAAATAACTTGATTTACCTAACAGTTCTATCCCTTGTTTTTACCTGCTTTTATGCATGTTGATATGGTTCATACCTTATTAAATACATCCTTGCTAACAGAATCTGTGTTCCACAGATTTTGTGTTTCCCTCTGTATTAGCGCCTCTTCTTTCTGTCTCCATTCTTCCTCCCTCTGTCTCAATTCTGAAGCATCAGTCTGTGCTTTGGCATGTTCCTGATCCAGGGACTCAGAGTTATGCAGTGCTAAACTACCAAGTTTCTGCTGGGCTTCTGCTAAATTCCATTTGCATTCCACAGAGCTCTTCACAAACTCCTTTTGTTTTTGGCAAGCCAATTCAATCCCATGGCCATATATCTGTATGGGGGGTGGTGGAGGGAATCAGATTTGTTTATTTGGAAAAGTGGAGAGAATTTAGATAGCACATGCAAACAGATAAGGTTAGTTGCAGAACAGAATTCTGAGATGGCAAAGTTGTGAAAAATGAGGTTAAATTCTGACCAGTGACTAAAATTGATATTATACAGTTGGATATTTACTTCAATGGTTTCCACATTAAATTAGCTCAGTTTACACATAAAATACATTTTAATAACTCCCAGATTTGCAAACTCAGGGATCATGTATCAGCAGTAACAAAGCTTCTCCAACCAAACTGCAGAAAACAATTTTTATGATGAAGCATGGGCAAAAATAGGTTCCAGCTGGCTCTCTCTTAGCTGTGCTGGTTCTGCAGTGCTAACAATAGCCAAAACACCAAAATTAACTCTAAATACATATAAATCTGTAATAAGAAAGTGGCATTTTTACAGTGTCTGACCATAACTGGACTTTGAGTATTGCTTAAATTCCAAACAGATTAATATTCTTTGCTTAAAACACCTTGTGCAAAGGACAGATATGTAGAAAAATAACCTATTTTACTTAGTTCTCACATAAACATAGGAGGGATTTTTAGTAGATATAAACCCCACTTCAGACAGACACCCAGAAAAAAGTGTATGAATTCCTACATAGCAATCTGCAGTTTCTCATGCTTACTTTGGGCTTTGAAACATGGTAGATCTCCTTTCAACGAAAGGGGACAAGTTGCTGCTTGCTCAAACTTACCCTAGAATCAAAGGTGAAGAGAATGTCTTGAAAGGAATGAGATATATAGTATTCCAAGAAGTTAACTATGCAGCCTCTCTAGGATTTCCAGTCCCTGCTTGTTCCAAACCCAGACTGTTACCTCTCAAAAAGGAGCCCCATATATCTATACATTGACTTTTTCAACAGAACGGTGATTGAATAAGTTTTTAGGCAATTCTGCTGCACATACTTCATTTTGTCAGTCACACCCAGCATGCGATGAAGAATGGGAAAAGGCAGCGTGATACTCAAGTGCTGGCCTGGCGACTGCCGACAAACCCGGCGCTAGCTGAGTGACTGGGGGGCGCACACTGGCATGAGGGTAGCCGCACGCTACGGCCACCTCTCCCTGCAGGAAACACTGGGCCTTGTTCAGCTCAAACCACGGGTGTCAGCATCACTTCGCCGCAGAGACTTCACACTTGGCTCCCATCAGGGGCTTCATGTCGCACTCGCCGCCAACGGGGGCGAACGGGGCAAACCGCAGCCGGAACGGGTCGCGGGGCAGGATCTAACGGGGGATGAGTTACCAAGCGCCGCAGGGCTCTGCTCACCCCATGCGGGCGGAGCTGGGGCTGGAGGAGCCGAGCGGGGTCCACGGCTCCATGCTGAGCAGGGAGCAGGTCTGGCAGGGCCGGGCCCGCAGCAGGCCCATGGGGCTTTGCCAGCTCTGCGACCCCCGCTGGAAGCGCTGCCCGAGTGCGGGCCAGGCCGAGCCGGGCGAGCGGTTTGGCTTCGTGCTGCTAGGACCGGGCCGGCGGGGCAGCCGGAGTCAGGGCGAGCCCAGCGCAGGGCCCGATCCCGGGAGTGGGGGGAGAACGTACCTGCGGGTCCGGCGGGCGGGGCGCGCAGGGCGGGTCCGGGTCCGGCTCCTGCCCCTCCCCCGCGCGGAGACCCCGGGAGCGCGGCGGCCACAGCGCCATCCCCGCGCAGAGACGCGCGCCACCGGCTCGGCCCCTCCGGCTCCTCCCCCCGCGCAGGCCCGTTACCAGCCTGGCCGGAAATTAGGCCGAGCGTCACTTCCGGAAACAGAGGGCGGGTGGGGCGCTTCTGTGATCTCACGGCGCATACCACTGCCCGTTGCGAGCCACGCGAGGGAGGAGGCTCCTGGCCAGCTCGTGCTGGAGGAGCGCGGGGCCGGGTTTGTTTTTTAAGCCGCGTTGGGAACCGGACGAGAGTGAAGCGATGCCGCCGCGGCGCGAGGCTGAGGAAGCCCCGCGTGTGTCTGGGGCACGCGGGTCTGGAGCCTTTGAAAAAGAGAGAAGCTTTAAAGCGTATACCCAGAAGATCTGAAGAGCTCATCTCTTTCACCGCAGCAGTTGGTTCAATAACAGATATAACCTTCAAGTATTGGGGGTAGCCGTGTTAGTCTGTATCTACAAAAACAACAAGGAGTCTGGTGGCACCTTAAAGACTAACAGATTTATTTGGGCATAAGCTTTCGTGGGTAAAAACCTCACTTCTTCGGATGCATGGATATAACCTTGCCCACCTTGTCTCTCTAAAATAGTGGCAGTCACATCCCTGAATTGTAGGCCAGAATCATTAAATTCTGGTCTACAGTTTCTTGTTTTTCTAGACTATCATTTTTGGTAATTTTTTAGGTAAAATCACTTTGTTCTCAGCACTTTGAAAAACATCTTATTCCCCTCTCTTAATTATCCACCCTGTGCACTGAATGAGGGGGGGGGGGGGATTCTGGAAAAAAAATAAGGTGATTGTAATTAAAGACTATATCTTAATGCATACACAAAGGGGTCCAAACTAAAGTTGCACAGGCAGCCTGAATTCTGTCATTTCTTAACTTTTGAAGGCTTGACTTTGCACTCTTAATTTTATTTTAACATAATTTATTTGTATATCACAGAAGGTGATAGATAGTACAGTTCTACTCTGTGCTGGTTTAGGTTAGGCTTCAGCTGGAGTACTGTGTCCAATTTTGATCACCAATGTGTAGAATGGATGTGGAGAAACTGGAAAGGATTCAGAGGTGAGCAACAAAGATGATAAAAAGGATGGAATGCAAGCCTTGTGAGCAAAGGCTGAAGGAACTTGGTATGTTCGCAAAAAAAGGAGATTAAGAGGGGACATGATAACAGTCCTCAAATACTTGAAAGGCTGTCATAAAAAAGATGGAGAAAAGTTGTTCTCTCTTGCCACAGAGGGCAGGACAAGAGGCAATGGGTTCAAACTATAGCATAGCTTAGGGGTTGGCAACCTTTCAGAAGTGGTGTGCCGAGTCTTCATTTATTCACTCTAATTTAAGGTTTCTCATGCCAGTAATACATTTTAACATTTTTAGAAAGTCTCTTTCTATAAGTCTATAATATATAACTAAACTATTGTTGTATGTAAAGTAAATAAGGTTTTTAAAATGTTTAAGAAGCTTCATTTTAAATTAAATTAAAATGCAGAGCCCCCCAGATCGGTGGCCAGGACCCAGGCAGTGTGAGTGCCACTGAAAATCAGCTCGTGTGCCGCCTTCGGCACATGTGCCATTGGTTGCCTACCCCTGGCATAGCTGATATAGATTAATGCTCAGAAAAAACTTCCTAACTGTAAGAACAGTAGGACAATAGAATACACATTGCCTTGGGAGGTTGTGGAAGCTCTTTCACTTGAGGTTTTCAGAAGGAGGCTGGATAGCCATCTGTCTTGGATGGTATGGACACCACAAATCCTGCATCTTGTTAGGGGGTTAGACTAGATGACCCTTGTGGTCCCTTCTAACCCAGTGGTTCTATGATTCTATGTATGTTGCCTAGGTTATTAAAAAACAACTGAAAAAACAGAAATTCTGTTATGCGGAACTATATTAACCCCCTATGTTCATCATCAGCAAGATTGTAAACATTGATTAGATCCACAGCACAGATCTCTTGTCACTTGAGCTAACAGAGTAGTTCTGATAGCAGTAGCAGACTTTTATCCTTTATATAGACCAGCCACTTTAGGGGAATGAAACACACATTTTGCTAGTGGATTTCACAGCTATTTGCTAGACAAGGGAGGAATACAGAGACTAAGGAATCTTGGGTTCTATTTCAGGTTCTGGATGGGAGTGTTCTCTAGTGATTACAGACCCTACTTTCCTTGTGCATCCTGCTCCAACCCCTGCATGTACCTATACAGCCTGTTTCTTTTCCCCTCTCTGCTTACCCAGTGCCGGCTCCAGGCACCAGCATAGCAAGCAGGTGCTTGGGGCAGCCAATTTAAAGGGGTGGCACTCCGTCCGGTATAGGGGCGGCACGTCTGGGTCTT